GTTAAGTAGGGGTGTGTGTGTGTGTACACAGGGGTCATCATCATTTAGGAGGAATTTAAAGTCCTGAAACTAGATGAGATCACAAGAATGAACAATAAATACATAAGTAGTTAGAGGAATGACCCTGGGGCTCTTTAACATATAGGGGTCAGGAAAACCTGGGAAGGAGATAAGAAGAGAATCAAGAGGGAGTGGCATTCCAGAGCCAGACTATAAAGAAAAGAATGTTTCTAGAAGCAAAGGAAGATCAACTTTGTCAAGAATTACAAGTAGGTCTAAAAGATAAGATTTGGAAATCAGACTTTTGTTTAACCACATGGAGGCCATTACATTCCTTAACAAGAACAGTTTCAGCAAAATAGCTCTAATTGGGTTTATTCAAGAGAAAATAGGAGAAATTTCACACTAAGTAATATAAACAATTCTTTCAAGATTTGTAAAATACAGGACCAAAGCCATAATAGCTGGAGGGAGATGCAGGGTCAAGATTTTCCCCCTTAAAGTCAGGATATAAGTAAAAATTTATGTATTTAAATTGCTAATGGTGTTAATCCAGTTGCAAGTGAAAAAATGCAAGTGCAAGAGGAAGAGTTGCTGGATCAGCGTCCTTAGGTATGCAGGGAAAATGCAGAGTGGAAAGGAGCACAGGTCTTCCCACATAGCAGTAGAGGGAAAGCAGAACCTGTGGGTACATCATGGAAGTAGGGGTGTGGTGTGGGGAGGTATGCTGTAGGGAAAGGAGAAAGAACTTCTCTCTGCTTGTGGTTTCTCAATGAAATAGGAAGCACAGAAATTTGCTGACAGTGAGAAGCTGGAAGAGGTGTCAGAGGGGAAGCCATAAAATGTTGCTGTTGGAAAATGGAGAGCAGATGGATTAGGGGCACCGGGCAGTGGCCTTAAGAGTCCTTAGGAGGGCCTGGATAGCTCAGCGACTGAAGGATCAGTGAGTGACGTCAGGACATTGAAGGATACTGGAAAGTTAGAAGGTAGAGTGCTCAGCTGGACATAGAGGTTAAGGTGACTTCCTCCAGAGGGTGCATTTGCGGTGTCTGGAGACAGTTCTAGTCCCCACAACTGGAAGCAGAAGTGGTGCTACTATCATAGTAGAGGCCAGTGATGCTTCTGAATATCATACAGTGCACAGGACAGTTCTCCAGACATAGAATTGTCAGTCCCAATTGTAGTGCTGAGCTGGAAAAGTCCTGACTTACTGTATGGCCATAGGAACGAGTGGCTGGGGAACGTACGGTCTAGAAGGTAAACAGAAAAACCAGTGTTTTACAAGGTTTATCATGTGACTAATGGAATCTCCAAGAATTATGACCAGAGTAGCACTGGAGAGAAAGATGGACAGCCAGAGAGGAAGTCAACTTGCTATGTATGAGTCACTTTCTTTTTCTGGAACTAGCTGATTGTCTAGAGTTAGAATCCATAATCCTGGCTCTAAAGAGCTACGTATTCAAGTTAACCAAAGAGTGACAGAATGTTTAAAAATGAAGTTGCTTATTTATTAAGTCCATTGTAAATAGAATGCTTAAAAGCCATTTAGGGATTTAGTCTTTTTTGCTTAAAATTCTTGACTTTAAACTCAGACACTTGGCCTAATTCTGTCTTTAAATAACATCTCAAGGTAACAGCTCTTTGCAACCAGGCCTTGAGGCAGGGATCTGGTTTAAGAAAATCCTTCAGAAACTTTTTTTATGGACTTTAGAGCCTGGCTTTCCCTGCAGTGGAGGAAACTAGTCAAAATCACACTGAATGAGTAAGGGTTGCGAACCAGTGCTGCTTCCTGGAATAAGCTGGTTAACTGGTCTGTCTTGTGCTTTGTCCTTCATTCTGAACTTAAGTGCCCGAGGCTACCCACAATAGCACGAAACAGCTTTTGTTTGCTTGTACTCTGAAAGAAGGGCTTGTTTTGAGGTTTGGACCACAAATAATAATCCATTGTTCTCTATAATAATAATCCACCCTCTTTTAGAAGAAAAAATCTGCTTGCTGCAGTGTGGCTATCAGTTTATTTAAAAGAATAGGCAAAAGTGACCATTGTGTCCTGAGAATAAACATTTGGAAGATGGTTGGGAGGAATGGGGGAGTGCTCTTGCTCTCCTTGACCTAGAATCATAGTTAACCCCCAAGAAGAAAAATTTCTGAAAATAACCTACCATCCCTGGTGACAATACCCTTACTTATTCTGCCCATCTGTTACATTCTAAGAATAATTGGACACTACAGATATTTATTCCAAACTATTTCTTTAAAATATCTTGTTTTGGAGCCAGCTGCCAGTGGCTCATGCCTCTAATCCTAGCTACTTGGGAGGTTGTAGTTCAAGGCCATCCCAGGCAAATAGTTCATAAGACCCCCCCATCTCCAAAACAACCACAGCAAAATGGACTGGAATTGTGACTCAAGGGGTAGAGCACCTGCTTTGCAAGCAGGAAGCCCTGAGTTCAAATCCCAGTTCTACCCCCCAAAAAAGTCTTTATTTTGAAGATGGCTGTTTTTAAAAGTTATCAGTTTTAGGCCAAATAAGTTTATTTCTAACCTTCATCTGGTGTGCAAAAGTGTCTTTTTTTTTTTTTTTTTAGCGAAGGCTGTCTTATTTTAACAACAATAATAATTTCTGAAGTTGCTTCTGAATGCAGATTTGAAAAATCTATTTTTATATTATAAATGATAGACATCTTTTAGTTACCATTTCCTAGGCTTAGCCTGACTTAAAAAACAGAATGGGTGAAATGCAAACCTGACAGTGTAGTCAGCTGTTTCTTGAGTACACACTTGGCTTTGCACAGGCAAATCTAAAATTTCCCTCACAAAACCAAATATACTGTGCATTTTTTTCTGCCATAAGTCCTTTATAGGAGAAGGTCAGTTAAATAATAAACGTGCTCTTAAAATGAAGTGTACCTTAGAATAGTTTAATTGCTTTAAATATAAAAGGTGAGTAAAGCTTAGTGGGGTAACTGTTACAGTGTAAGAGGTAAATATGAGAACTTTTTAAAGTAATAAAAACATGCCCTTCACACTGTTGGAATTAAAGACCCTCCAGTGCCGAAAACAGACACACAAGAGACAGAAAATCTTGACAAGGCAATTTTCTCTTGATCAAGAGGGTGCAAGCATGTGTTCACTCCCGCTAAGTGTCACGCAAACACAAAATGGCTGACAGTGGCTCCTCCTTATATCCCTGACGCAGTTGTACCTGCCCCTCACCTGGGATTTGTCCAGGTCAGAGGTTCACAGTCTCCCTCAGTTGGCTAAAAGGCTTGGGGGATGGGTTAGGGCATGCAGTTTGTCGGGCAATGGAGTTGTACAGGAAGCAAGGACCCTTTAAACATGCAAGTCACCTAAGATGGTGACCTGAGTAATTTTTAAGTAATCTAAGAGGGTAACAAATACTTTGATAGAAAAGATCATTTTTCTCACAACATCATTAAAAATAGACCAGGAAGCAGCCAAGAAATCCTTCAGTAGGTAAATGAATGAACTGTGGGCTACCCATACAATTGAACATTGCTCATCAATAAAAAGAGGTGAGATACCGCGCACAAAAAGACATACAGGACATACAGGAAGCTTAAATGAAGTTTGCTCATTTTCTGGTTCCAATCAGAAAAGGCTACATACTGTATGGTTCCAACTGTATAATACTCTGGAAAATATAAAAATACAGAGACAACCAGGCACTGGTGGCTCACGCTTGTAATCCTAGCTACCTGGGAGGCTGAGATTGCTCAATTTCAGTTCGAGGCCAGCCCAGGCAAATAGTTTGTGAGTCTCCATCTCCAAAATAACCACAGTAAGATGGACTTCTTGTGGTCCATGCAGTCCATGCAGTAGAGCACCTGCTTGAAAGTGCAAAGCTGAGTTCAAACCCCAGTCCCGTGTGTGTGTGTGTGTGTGTGTGTGTGTGTGTGTGTGTGTAGATAGTAGCCAGGCATGGTGGCTCACACCTGTATTCCTAGCTATTCAGAAGGTGGAGATAGGAAGATTACTGTTTGGGGCTAGCTTAGGCAAAAATTAATGAGACCGTAACTCAGAATATAAGCCAGGCCAGGCACCCGCTCATGTCTATAATCCTAGCAACTCAAGAGGCACAGAGATCAGGAGGACTGTGGTTTGAAGCCAGCCCAGGCAAATAGTTCTCAAGACCCTATCTCAAAAACACCCATCAACCAAAAAGGGCTGGTGGAGTGGCTCAAGGCCCTGAGTTCAAGCCCCAGTACCGCAAAGAAGAAAAATAAGCCAGGCATGGTATAATCCCCAGCTATTCAGGAGGTGGGAGGATTGCTGGCCTAGGCAAAAAGCTGAAAGACCCTACTTGAAAATAGACTAAAAGCAAAAAGACGGGGTGGGGGGTGGGGGGCAGAAAGATGTGAGGTTCCAATTTCAATCCCCACCAAGGGCAAAAAAAAAAAAAAAAAAAGGGTTAAGGGTTACCAGAAGCCTGGAGGTAGGAGTGAATCGGTGACACACAGGGATGTTTAAAGCTGGAATATTCTGTGTGTTCTTGTAATGGTGGATGTATGTCATTACACCCATTTGTCAAATATTCATAGATGTATAACACAGAGTGAATTTATTCACAGTAGTGTAACAGTGTTTGCTCATCAACTAAGGCAAATATACCTCACTAATGTCAGATGTTAATAATAGGGGTACATGGAGGGGGGTGGTTAGGGAATTTATGGGAACTCTCCACTTTCCACTCTGTTTTTGTAAGCCTAAAACTGCTTTTAGAAATGTTCATTAATTTAAAAAAATAGATACATATATATTTTAGGTATAGCCAAACTCATAAAATAAAACCCTAGACTATCAGCAGTTACTGTTTGTAGGAAGCCCGTAGCTATAGAATATCCTGCCAGAAATGTGTAATATAATAGCAGCAGGTTACTGTGTGTATTGTATCTTTTCTTTATGCTCTTCTCTGATAAATACATTCAGTGGTATTTGTGCTAAATGCTACTTTTAAACTGTCCCTGTTCTCTCTGCAGTTACAGCTGGAAGTGTCAGCCTTGGAGGTTTATACACCAAAAGAAATCTTTGTGGCAAATGGGACACAAGGGAAGCTGACATGCAAGTTCAAGTCTACTAACACAACTGGAGGGTTAACCACAGTCTCCTGGAGCTTCCAGCCAAAGGGGGCTGATACTACTGTGTCGGTAAGGAGCACTTGACTGCTCTTGGCTAGTTCTGCCTCCCAAGCTGCTGCGTGCGTGCGTGCGTGCGTGCGTGCGTGCGTGTGTGTGTGTGTGTGTGTGTATTCCTCACAGGCTTCTTTCTTGCTGTCATTTGATTAGTGACCCATTCTGTTCCTCTCTTCCCAAAATGTGTATCTGCTACAAATGTTAAGGTTCTTCTCTTGGCTCAAACTCTCCAGGAAAAAATAAGTTAAGTATCTCTTGTCTTTGGATTCATTTTCTTTGCCATGTGTTTCTGATTTTTTGGGTATATACATATGCTTCACTCTGATTTAATTATGATGTTCTTGATTTAGTTTGTACTGTGATTCAGCAGTATTTCTTGGGAGCTTGCTTACCATGAAGTGAGTAAATAGGCCCTTAAAAAAACCCTAAAACATGCCAGATTCTGGTGGCTCACACCTGTAAACCTAGCTACTTAGAGGGCTGAGACTGGGAGGATTGAGGTTTAAGGCCAGCCTGGGCAAATAGTTTGTGAGACCCCATCTTCCAAATAACCAGAGCAAAATGGGCTGGTGTGTGGCTCAAGTGGTAGAGTTCCTGTTTTGCAAGTGCATAGCCCTGAGTTCAAACCCCAATCCTACCAAAAACCCCTAAAACACAAACTTTGCTTTCACCAGGGAGAGAAGAGGAGTGAGACTGGTGCACAGATAACTTTGAGTAAGATGAAGGGCATAACAGAAGTACAGTGCCATAGGACTGAAAGAAAAGTCAGTTATATAACTGTTAGTAGCTGGCTGAGTGTTGGTTATTTAAGCAGAGTTTTAGGCCAAATGCTCTGCTCCAGAAGTCCCAAAAGGACTAGGCTCAGCCACCCATCCCAAATAAAGGAATGAGTAGTGGTGAGGGGCAAAGAAAGGAGATTCAGGGTGCCTCAGCTGTAGGAAGAGGGAAAGTAAGCATTTTGACCCATCTTCTGGGGTACTGACACGAGGTTCAAGTTTAAATAGAGGAAGACTTGGGAAAGGAGGCAAGAGGTATACATAATTAAGCAGCTTTAGTCAAAGGGTGGGGTCTTGTCACCATAAGATAGTCCTTGCTGCCTGGGGTGGGGGGTAGATTAGAAACAAGATATTTCTCTATCAGTCCTGTCATGCTGGAATCCAAGGTGAGTGCAGGAGAGAGTGGTTCAGAGCAAAGGAGACAGATTCAAAATGGAGGCAGAGATGCTTCATTTTTATCATTAACTTGTGGGCCCTAGTAAGGAGTGCTTTTAGTACTGCTATAGTTATATAATGGGTGCTTACTAACGTACATTATTAAATGTGATTCTTGTCTCTAACATGGACTAATAAAACCTCCATGTAGGGATATTGAGAGAGGGAAAGTGAGGTCATACAAGTAGGTGCTCAGGATGGTGTCTAGCTCTTTCGGTACTTAACTCACACAGTTCATTAAGTTATGGTTGTCTTGACAGTAAATTGTGTGTACGTTGCTACTTCAGTAATGTTGTACCTTTTAGGTTGCAGTTCTTGGCAGGAACAGAGTCTGTCATCCATCTTTAAATAAGAATACCCAACTCTTCTTTGAATGGTAATGAGTGCTATGGTTTGAATGTGTTCCCCAAAGTTCATGTGTTGGTAACTTAATCTCCAAATTCAAATGTTAATGGTATTTAGAGGCCTTTGGAGGACAACTAAGACAAGGCTAGGTGAAGTCACAAAAGTGGAGTCCAGCGATAGCATCAGTGACTTTATAGGAAAAGGGAAAGAGGTCCAAGCTGGCACAGTTGCTCTGTCTTATATGTGATGCTCTACACCATGTTAGAAGGCCCACATCAGATGCCAAGCTGATGCTGGCACTGTGCTCTTGGACTTCCCAGCCCTCAGAACCATGAGATAAATCAACTTAAATTCTTTATGAATTACTTACTCTCTGGTCTTTTGTTGTACTAACAGCAAACCAACTAACCCTCTATAGACCTGTATACTCAGGAGCTTTAGATGAGGAGGATTCAGGAGAATTTAGGTTCAAGGTCAGCCCACACAGTTAGTGAGACCCCCATCTCGACCATTGAAAGCTGGATGTGGTGGTTCATGCCTGTCATCCCAGCCACAGGAGAAGCATAAATTGGAGGATTGTGGTCCAGGCCAGCCTGAGCATAAGTGCAAGACCCTATTTGGAAGAAAAAATACATAGAACAAAAAAGGGCTGGAGGTGTGGCTCAAGTGGTAGAGTACCTGCCTAGCACGAATAAGGACCTGAGTTTTTGGAGGAACCACAGTGCCTCCAAAAAAACCTAAGACAAATTACATTTGTTAATGTAGATGCTTAGAAGCCCCCATGTGCCTGTCCCCTTTAATCTCAGTTTTGTTAGGAAGGAGCATTTTCCAACTGGGTGTGGAAAGGGGTCTTGAGGTGATGTGGAGGGACACTGACTCAGGAGCAGAGTGTTACCCTCAGCCACAGAACACAGGTCAGGATGGCTTTCACTTTAGTCAACTCCAAATACTGTCTTATTGCCCTCAGGTATTATTTTCTCCCTTGAATAGAAAGGTCTGGTTAGCTTTAGGGATTGTCTAAGGCAGTGCCTCTCAATTTTTTTTTAAATTTTACTTAAAAAAGGAACTTTTTTGACATTTTTTCCTAATCTCTCCCCCTCCTGTGAAAGTTTAATACTACTGCTAGTGTATACCTGTGCTTTTTATGTGAAAAGTAAGATTTCTTTTTTCCAGCCTTCCCATACAATAGCTTCTGTGTTAAGAATTTATCCTCTCTGCCATTGTTGAAGGAACAAAGCAATTGCCTGCTGGCTGTTGATAGACTAGGAGCTCTTTCCAGTCTCCCCCAGGAAAACTTTCAGTATGTACAAGATGACTGCAGTAACTAGAATAAAGTATCTTTCTGTTTGGCCTAAATGGTTTCATTTTTATATGTGACATTATCAAAGCTGTATACTTTCTGTTGAAATAATTCTCCTAGGGAAAAGCAGTGTTGTAGCAGGTTGGAAGATATAACTGATTTCCAAATTCGTGAGTGGATCTGTGTCCCCAAGGATTTATTAATAAAATGTCATATCTAGAAAGACAGAAGGGCACGGTAACATCAAGGATTTCAAATTTATTTTACATCCTCACTGGGTCCAGTTTGTTGTGATTTTGGTAAGACCAAATACAGAATGCATCATCTAGAAGTCTCTACAAGAAGCCTTCCCCTAGAGTAGCTGTAAGAGTGACAGCAGGAATCCATACCAACATCTGAGGGAAGCAGATACAAAGGCATTCTGCTTCATATAAATAGATTGTCAGTGTGGAACATGCATCAACATTTCCATAGAGCAAAATTAAATGTGTAAGTTTACTCAAGAGAGTCCAAAGAACTAAACTTGTGAGGATTTCCCTCAGAAGTCTTCTGCAAGAGTAAATGTTTAGTCTATTGAAAATAAGACACTGAATAAGACACCCAGAGGTAATAACTTGAAGTGCAGTTTCATTTATGCTCAAAATATTCTTGTTTTGTGGGTTGAAGAAGGTTTACATAACTCAAGGCTTAATCTTAAGAACATGCCACATTTCTGATCAGTTATTTTAGTTAGTTTGTACTTGCACGGTAGTCTTGAGTACAGTTAACACCAGGATGGAGAGTTACTAGTATAGGATCCTTTACCTCCGAAATGTCAGGACACCTTTAATCAGGTGAGCAGGTTGCCTTTTGTTTTTAGAGATTTCACAGGAAAAGTATTTTTCAAACCCAGCATATCATAGATGGCTTTTCTGGTCCTTGGAATCATATCCATGTGTCTAACACTGAACACACTCTCTCCTCTTCATTTCCCTTCTTTTAGTTCCTTCTTTTAGAAACAAGTTTGGTGAGTTTTTTTTGGTGGTAGTTCTGCCCTTTCCTCTCTGCTACCACTTCCCTTCTGCCCCCTTCAGCAAACGTGAGAGTCTTTGATGCTGCCATCTACATTTTGCCAGCCTTCCTGCTTCTCAGCTCTCTTTTAAGCAACATTAATTTTGAACCTGGAGTGGTGTCATAATACCTGGTTTGTCCTGCTTCTTTTCTTCTGATCAAATTGTCACATGCTACCATATACACATAGTCTTTTTTTTTTCTTTTATACATTTATGCATACAATGTTTGGGTCATTTCTCCCCCTTACCCCCGCCCCCTTACACATGGTCTTAAAGTAATTCTTTTGCCTTGGCACACTGGGCTTGTTTCTTGATATTGTCCTTGCCAGAAACCTCCTAATTTCCCATTACTAACAACGCTTGTTTAGAATTCAGACTTGTTACAATATGGTCTCAGCCTTGCTTCTCTTTTCCTATGAGATCACTTCCAATCTAGTAAGTCCTTAGGCAGGTGACTAAGGTTTTTCAAGCCTCACTTTCCTCTTTTTTGGAAATACAAGGCAAATGGATCTCACCTTGCAGGATGGTTGTGAGCACTAGAATGTTGTTGACAAATGGTGTCCCGTGGATCACTCACATTTCTGCACATTTTGTGGACAAAAGCAGTGGCTACCTTTGTTGTAGACTTTTTCTTCTTTTTTTTTTTTTTTTGGGCAGTTCTGGGGTTTAAACTCAGGGCCTCATGCTTGTTAGGCAGGTCCTTTACCACTCTACTAGACCACATTGCACTTTCTTTATAAAGTTACTAGATGTGGAAAACAGAGATGGTGTTTTTCTCTGGAGCAGAGGATAGATTGCTTACTGTCCAATATAGTAAAAGTAATGTATCTCTTTAGGATGAAAATTAGGCATGCCTTCTGCCCATTACAGGGTTCTAGGCTAGGTGCAGTGGTACATGCTTATAATTCCAGCACTCAGGAGGCTGAGGTGGATCACTTGAGCCTAGGAGGAGTTCAAGGCCAGTCTGAGCAACATAGCAAGACTCTGTCTCAAAAACAAACAAACAAACAAAAAGGTTTGGGTTCTTTAATCCTGGAGTTCCTTAGTGGTTATTCAGTGTTGCTGCATGTATAACATCCCCTGCATGCCATCCTATGGGACTTAGAGGGGCAAAGGATAAAAACATTCTTCTTGCTGCATCATAAGTAGTAAGGTCCTTTGGGCTGGCAGAGTGACTCAAGTAGTAGAGTACCTGCCTAGCAAGTATAAAGCCCTGAGTTCAGCCCTCCAGTACCACAGTGTCAGATACTTCACAGTTCCTAACAAGCACTTAGTTCATATTAAAAATAAGATATATATTTCCCAAACATTATATGCACATATGAATAAAAGAAATTTAAAAAGTAAGATATATATTTGAGAAGTTGTGACAATTACTTTATTATTGCTTGTCTGTGCTCATTTAGGCCGTGTGGAGAGTGGATTGGAGAAAGTTGACCTAGAGTCAGATACCAGTTAAGAGGCCAGAGTCCATGATGATGAGAGTATGAAATTAGGTGTTGTCAGTGGGAATTGAGTAAAACAGAGAACTGGGAGTAATTTATGAGGTAGATAAATAGTGTTGGGTGTGAATTGCATGAGAAGGAAGATAGAGGAACCAAACATTATTCTAGTATGCCCTGTTATTGGTTAAGGTGGGATCTCGTGAACTTTTTTGTCCAGGCTGGTCTGGAACCTCGAACCTCCCCGATCTCTGCCTCCCAAGTAGCTAGGATTACAGATTTGAGCCACCAACATCCTACAGAGTATTGGCCTTAGGAGGGGCATGGTAGTGGTAGAGTGTTTGCCTAACAAATGAGAAGCCTTAAATTCAATCCCCAGTACACCAAAAAAAAAAAGAGGAAGGGAAAAGAAGGAAAGAGAAGAGATAAGTCAAAAGAGAGGAGAAGAGAAGAGAAAGCATTGGCTTTTAGTAGTAAAATGGGCCTGATTTTGACTCTGGGTCTACACCACTTCTTGTCATTGTGACCTTGGGAAAGTGGCTTCTTTGAGTCCCATTTCCTTTCTTATAAAATATGGATAGTAGTAATTATCTCAATGGAATGTTGAGAGCATTAGAGATGATACACATGTCTTTCTTCAACTGAAACTTGGCAGGATTGAACCCCATCATCTCCAGAACTATCTGGCTTATTTTCCATAACTTGAGACTTGTAGTATAATTTTCATTTCTTTCTATATGAAACCTTTTTAAAAAAGAAGCTTTAACAGTATGCCTCTACAGACTTTAGGAATCCTGACTTTGAGAAAAGCTCATGTGTTCTTATTTTCTTATTGCAGTTTTTCCACTACTCACAAGGGCAAGTGTACCTTGGGAATTATCCACCATTTAAGGACAGAATCAGCTGGGCTGGAGACCTCGACAAGAAGGATGCATCAATCAATATAGAAAATATGCAGTTTATACACAATGGCACCTATATCTGTGATGTCAAAAACCCTCCTGACATCGTTGTCCAGCCTGGACACATTAGACTGTATGTCGTGGAAAAAGGTACTCCTTTGGTATTTTGTCCCTTTTATCTGGTTTAGTGGGAGAACAAGAGTTACATTTCAAGGTGTGTTTGAAGGGAGGATTTTTCCATACACTTGTGCTCTCTCTCTCTGTGGACCTGTGGCTCTACCAGACATATCTGGAGGTTGGGGAACTGGTACTCAGTCCACAGAATGGCTGATTTCTCCATTTAAATACCTTCTGTCTAGAGCCTGTTGATCTGATTTCAGGAGTATTGGTTTTTTTTTTAGTGTTAGTTGTAAGTAAGACTAAATTCATAGTGGTTAGATGAAGTCAACCATGGGAAAGGAGATTGATACTGTTTTGATATTCTCCAAGAGAAAATTATGACATCTCCAAAAGTAGTACAGTTATTTCTTCCCTTCTTTAAGAATAAGCAGGACATGCAGGTTCCTGTGTCTACTTTTGAGACAGTCTGCTCTGTTGGAGACTAGATTGATAAAAATTCTGATCTCCAGTTGTGCTTTTACTTTAGCACATGGAGAGGGATTGTGAGTATAGAAATGTTTCGTAACATAGTTCATTCTTTTTCAGCTAATATGTCATCAGTTAGCTACTACTGCCTGTGATTTGGATAATAAAAGAGGATGAATAAAATAATAACTGCTAAAGATTCTCTTATTAAATTAATAAAATTCCATTCTTCTCTCTGTAGCAGTGTCTTAACTCTGTCTTGTTCTTTCCCTCTAGAGAGTTTGCCCATGTTTCCAGTTTGGGTGGTGGTGGGTATAGTTACTGCTGTGGTCCTAGGTCTCACTCTGCTTATCAGCATGATTCTGGCCGTCCTCTATAGAAGGAAAAACTCAAAACTGGACTACACTGGGTAAGAAAGACCATCTTTTAGGGGAGGGGTAGAAAGAAGAAATTGGGGCTTATAAACACTTGTAGATTTTTTTTATGGAAAAAGCATTGTGAGGAATTACCTACTGTTTGCTCTCCTGTTGGAACCAGCCAGTCTTCTCATGAGGTGTTCTGACATAGGCAAGCAGAAATCAGTGGTCTGCTATTTAACACAGATATGATACTAATCCTTGTTCTACAGTTCTACAGTTTCCTTCTGAGGCTTGGTGAAATGAACTGCTCAGCAGTCTAGGCTCTGGGTTTCAGCACGATCCACTTGGCAATTAGTGTTCTTAAGCCACAGGCATCACTTACCCAACTTAAGAGTTTAATTTTAATTTCTTGGTACTAGTTAATAAGGGTCTTCTTTTTAGTTGGGCAAATATAAAACCTTAATCAAGAAGTTGTGCTCAATGGGATTGGACTTTGAGCACATGATAAAAGCTTTAGCACACAAGGGAGGGGTGAGGATAGGTAAGACACCTAAAAAATTAGCTAGCATTTGTTGCCCTTAACGCAGAGAAACTAAAGCAGATACCTTAAAAGCAACTGAGGCCAATAGGAAAAGGGAACCAGGAACTAGAGAAAAGGTTAGATCAAAAAGAATTAACCTAGAAGGAAATCAACGTGAGTCAATGCCCTGTATAGCTATCCTTATCTCAACCAGCAAAAACCCTTGTTCCTTCCTATTATTGCTTATACTCTCTACAACAAAATTAGAAATAAGGGCAAAATAGTTTCTGCTGGGTATTGAGGGGGTTGGGGGGAGAGGGAGGGGGTGGCAGCAGGGGGGAGAAATGACCCAAGCCTTGTATGCACATATGAATAATAAAAGAAAAAAAAAAAAGAAGCTGTGCTAATGAACTATCCTCCTCACACAGTGTGGTGATACAGGGCTTTTCCTTTTTGTAATTCTGCCACACCACCCCAAACTTAAGCAGCTTTTACCACTTCTGTCATTCTTGGTTGGATTCACCCAAACTGGGATAATAAGAGTTGACAACAAACTATACCAGGAATAAAGAAAAGTTGACTTTTTGTTGTGGCTCCCCAAAGGGGATCTTTGAGCATAGGGTACATATCTAATTGAAGGACCTTCTCTTTTCTCCACTCCAGCTGGAAAGCTAAGCCATATAAGCTATATAGAACTCATATGGTAAGACTTGAGTGAAAGTTGGATTCAAGTTGATGTAGCACAAGCAGTGTCACAGGTGCACGGTCTGACTTTAACCACCCTGGAGGGACTGTACTTTAAAAGGATTGCATGCCCTGAGCTTTCTAGCTGGTGGGTGGTGGGAACCTCTATTTGCGGGCTCTAGTGATGTGGAGTTTTTAGGAGTGTTGTGTTTCAACAAGTCTTGAGTGTTCAGATTCAGATATTACTTGCTTGGAATGCTTTTATTCCGCTGACTGTGTTGCTCCCTTGCATGGTGAGTGTTTTATGATTAAATACAGCTGGATTGTTGGTTTTCAACATGAGACTAATACCGGGTGGTGACATGCCAGTCTGTAGTTCTTCCTTGGGGTTAATAAAGGGTCAGGGAAATGTTCCTTAGAATCCTGCATGGCCTCATGAAAGCTGCTATTCTTCTTACTTTGGTTTTTTTCCTCCTCCCCTGCTTTTCTACCTTGGTGTGCTAGGATCAGGTCCTGCTTATCTTCCACTTCTTAAGAAAAGCTGACATAGAAGACACATTGGGACTATAACAGGGCTGGGTCTCCTCTTCCACTCCCAGTAGACACATGGTAACTAATCACATTGCCCGTTGCTGTTAATATTCATGTGTATGTACTCAGCCCATTCCCTTTGTTGACAACTAACCAGCTAGTGCTGAGCTAACCCAACAGCTATTATAGCTTGTCCACAAATATGTCACTTGATTATATTAGAAACATAATTGAGCATAACATCCAGATGAAATTGGGTTCATCTGAATATATATGCTCTTCATGTAAAACACCTATAGGGATATGTGTGTGTGAGAGAGAGAGTTTTCTTTTTCATATGTGAATTTTATTGTCGGTGATTAAAGCCCTCTTTGTGTTAGAATAATCAAGCAGTCTTGGTTCAGGGCATGTAGACTCCCATTCCAGAGAAGGCAGTTCAGCATGTATGGTATGCTAAGTTTTAAAAATAGTAAGTTGTAAATGATTTAAAGCTATACTGATGACATGGCTCATTAAGAAATCCCTAATAAATTCCTTCTTAGTGTTCACTTTCCTGATTTATTTATGAGATAGCACTTGTTAAAGACCCTTTATGCATCTGAAAAAGTCTAGCCTATGTGATGTGGCATTCCATAGTTTCTCATCACTCATGATTTCTGGGGGGCTATTTGTGTTTTTGTTTGCTTGTAGTATTGGTACAGAAACAAAATATGGGGAAGTAGAGAATGGAGGGAATGAGAGGAGCCATGACTGCGAGTCTGGATGTATAACTGTAATTTTTTAATACATTCAGAAGAGGCTTACCTTTGATGGTAATGAAAGTGAATTGCCATCAAGAAGGTATAGCTTACTCTTTTGAGCGTTTATCTTGAAGCAGGGTTGACGGCAGGTATAAAAGACAAAGCAGCAAGAGTATAAATGTGTATTATGACCAGAATCACAACATTACTATTGGAAACTGAGGTGACGATGTTTTACCACAGTGATGTCTGTGCCTCCCCCCAGCAATAGTTTCAAGGACTTAGAAGAATGAATGAGTTTCAGGAATAGAAAATAGCTTTAAGATACATTATTTTTTGATGTCCATCATTTTGTTGTCTTCTGTTTTAAACATCTGTACATCTGCTGCTTCATCTTGCCATCACTTGCATTTCTGTACTTTTGTTTTGATTTATTTAATTTTTTTTTTTTTACATTGTTCATCAGCTGCAGCACATCAGAGACTTTGTCTCCGGTAAAGCAGGCTCCTCGGAAGTCCCCCTCTGACACAGAGGGTCTAGTAAAGAGTCTGCCCTCAGGATCTCACCAGGTAATATGGTGCTGTCACTTGCTGGGTATGGGGAAGAATACTAAACTGTGTAAGAGAAATACAGACACACAGAAAGGGAGGGAGAAAGAGGGAAATTAAAGGCCTGGTCTAGGAAGACCACAAGAAAATGTACAGAGGAGAATCTGAGTAAGTTTTCTACAAAACCACCACTGACATATTGTTTACTAACAGTGTAGCTCTGTTGGCCCAAGTAGAAGTAGAATGGCCTTGTCAGCTGTAAAGATTCTTCAGCTGCCCAAGGGAATAAGTCTAGCAAACTGTATTCTGTACTAACATATTCTGTAAGAAATTATCAACATAATGAAACCTCTTTGCATAAATTCATTTAGGCTAAGAAAAACATTGTAATAAAAAAGTTAAGAAATTGCCAGGAGACCAGGCATGGTGGTGTACATGCCTGTCATTCCAGTTACTCAGGAGACAGAGTCAGGAGGATCTCAGTTGAGGGCTGCCCAGGTGAAGGGTGGTGGTAAGACCCTGTCTCAAAAACAAAGGGGCTGTTGGCATAGCTCAAGTGATAGAATAATTGTCTAGCAAGGTTGTCCTGGGTTAATCCCCAGCACCACAAAGGGAAAAAAAATGTCAAGTAAAAGTTGATATTCTTAGTGTTTGTAATAAAACAGAAAATTTTTTCATAGATTATAAAAAATGGAAAGGAAGTGTTTATCTGAATAATTAATAGGCTTGATGAACAAGGAATGGTTTGGTTTTCTACTTACTGTAGAAAGTATAGGAGAGAAATAACTTTTATTCAGAATTTAGTACAGAATCTAGCATTGTGCTTAATACTGTGTTTTGACTATGCTACTTTATAATTATGGCTTGGCAAAAGCTTCATAGCTTAGTACCAGTGTGGTTCTTCTGGGAGAGAAAGAAGTCTAAGGAATTTGGCCAGTCCTACTTTGCTCTTAGAAGGTGTTAGCTAGAGGGAATAGATTTAAGAGGAAATAAAGAAAATCAAAGTGCTTGTAAAGTTTCATGAGTAAGATCTGTAGTATTACTCCATAGTTGATCCATGTGGCTAGGAAACTGTTATTCCAGTGAGGAAACTGAGGCATTGTTGTACTGAGTTACTAAAAATACACAGGTAGGGCAGAAACCCAAGTTTTCAGCTTGTTGTTCATCAGGCTCAAAACTTGTTCCTGTTCTCTCTGCCCACCCCTCTCATCTGTCTCTTCTGTCTCCTATTTTGGATTGCAAACAGGCATAGGGTCATAATAAAGTCATGGCAGCTACAAATGGTATAACATCTAAAGAAGCCTTGCTTTCCTCCTGAAAACAGACTGTGTCCTTCAAAAGTGAAATAGTGGTTTTTAAGACATTAGAAACCAGGTTGTTTGGTACTGTGGTCCCTGAAAACAAGGAAACAAGTAATGAGAGTCTGTGATTGCTCCAGCACATTGCCTCGAAAGTGTCCAGAATGCGGTTTAGAGAAGGAAAGTGGATGCGGCTGTTTCACTAAATTTAGGCAGCAAAAATCAGGACTTGTGAGGCAGAGTATTAGAAAAGAGAACACTACTAAGATAGAACAAGTGAACATGACTGCACAAGTACACTCCAAAAATCTGAATTGAGATACCCTGAGTCTTTGAATATAGATTCATGCATACACCAGAGATCAGGGAAAAGAACCATCTGAAAAGAATTGGTCATGCAATGCCTGGAGCCCATGAGGGGCTGGGATAGTTTGAGGAAAGACTCATAACACATAAGTTATTGGTTCGAATGCTCAGAATATCCAAGCCTTAGTAGTGGGGCTAAATTAACTATGGAGCCACCACTACAAAGCCTAAAAGGAAGCCTTTAAAGAATCAAATTAACCCCAAAGTAATTTAGCTGCATCCCACAACAAAATCCAACACTTTTTATAAGCATACAACAAAATCCAGCACCCAACAATGTAAAACTCAATGCAATGTCTGGTACCAATCAAAAATTACCAGGCATGCAAAGGAAAAGGAAGATGAGACACCTAATCTGGAGAAATCAACCCAGAAATGACAGATGATGGAATTCATAAGCAAGGACCTTAATGCAAATATTATAAATCTTACAAATAAACTTAAGGACGTAAAAGAAACCTTGGACATAAGAGGAAAGAAATAGCTACATTCAGCAAATCCAAATGGAGCTTACAGAAATGAAGAAAACATTGGTTGGCATTAACAACAGATAAGCCGGGTTCTGGTGGCTCTCACCTGAATCCTAGCTACTCAGGAAGGAGAGATCAGGAAGATCTCAGTTCGAAGCCAGTCTGGGCAAATAGTTCATGAGACCCTATCTCAAAAAAACCCATCACAAAAAAAGAGCTGGTGAAGTGGCTCAAGGTGTAGGCCCTGAGTTCAAGCCCCAGTACCAAAAAAAACCCCAAAAAAACAGATGAAATACACAGAAGAAAAGATCAGTTAACTTGAAGACATAGCAGCTATCTAAAATGAAGTAAGGAGAGAAAGAGAAAAACTATAATTTTTCCATTTAATATTTTTCAGTGTGTTTGACTGTAGATAACTGAAATCATAGGAAGTGAAACTGAGAATGAGAAGAGACTACTGTAGTGAAATAGTAGATTTGAACTCAACCATCTTGATGATTTCATTGAATATAAATGGTCAGGACACTCCAATTAAAAGATAGAGGGATTGGAAAGTGTGGCTTGGTGGCAAAAGCATGTGCTTAGCATAAGCAAAGTCCTAGGTTCAATCCCTAGCACCAGTAAATAGAGAAAGAGAGAGAGAGAGATGGATAGATGGATAAATGGACGGATGGATATCAGATTGGATAGAAGTAACCTTTGTCCCGCTCAGTTATTTTCCAAGTTGTATCTATACCTTTTTCTTTAAAGTTATAATTATCATCAAAATTTTTCTGCCTTGCCTGTTTCTGGAATTTGTAAATCCTTTACTAGTTGGCACAAGACTTTGAGGTGGACCATATGATTTCTAGCAGATTTACTGTGTAATTTTTGTTTTATTTGGCTTTGCTTTTGTGGTCATACTAACTTACATCAGATGATACCCTCCAAGGATTAGAAAATTTGCTTTGGATACTTTACAAACTGCCTAAGCTCCTTAAAGTATTAGCAAGTGATCCTAGTAGGATGTATAACTCACCAACACAGTGCTACCCTTCAGTGGATATACTTGAGATACTTCCCTTTCAGAGAGCCAAAGAGTTTTATTGATGTTGTGCTCACCAGAATCTTTATGATACACACTATCTTCAGTTTATTCAGAGAAGGAAAAAGATTTTCAGTTCAGGAAAAACTTGCTTGACCTCATATGTTCATCTTTCTCTATCCATGTTGCTCTCTTTTTGTCACTTCCACGGGCATTTAAGTGCTTGCAGTACACATGAAACATGGAACCCCTGCCCTGAAGAATTCAGAAACTTAACTCTGGGGCATAGCTCATAGTGTTAACTTGGGGAGGAGTTTTTAAAGCTGAACACCTGTTCCTCGTCTTTGAAGTGATGGGTGGGGCATGTTTGTCTCTAAACGCCTTCTCATGCCCCCATTTGTAACTGTAAGGGCTTATAGTATAACGTATGTTATAAGGACAGGTTTAGGCAGGTGCTGTCGGCAAAGATCTGTGTCATTCAGGCCTGTGAAATGGAGGCATGGAAGGAATTCTCAGAAATTCTTCCTTGAATGTTTCCTTCCAAGAGTTCTAATCATGACATGCTTCCTCATCAGCAAAACTTTCCATTTTTCTGTCTGTAGGCATCATCTGAGAATTAATAGCATTCATAATTACTATTTGGGTGAGTAAATGAGTCCATGTTACCCTAAGAAGAACGGGCATACTATTTCCCCAAGAAGGAAATTTAGGGAAAAAAGCAACTTGATGCCCAGACATCTGTCTTTGATCGCTGTTTTTATTATGATTAGAAAAGACTTATTAATAGTAAATCTGACTAACAGTAACTTCAATGATAAGAAGCTTAGTGACTCATGGGAGGCCCCGAGGCAGGGTACTTCTATGTTAGTTCAGCATTAAAGACACAAGGTCTTTCCATTTTACTCTTATTTAGCTTCTCCTCGGCATAGTGTCCTCATTCTCAGGCCTCAAATGGCTGCCTTGCCTTAGGCATCATGGAAAACAGGCAACAAGAGTTGCTGAGTCTTCTCTTAGTAGTTTTTATTACAGGGAAAACTGTTACTGGAAGCCCCAGCAAATTTTTCTTAGTCCCCATTGGCCAAGAGTAGGTCACATGTTGGGATTTCTTTCAGTTACCTGCAAGGGGTTGGGAATTTTAATTGGCTGAGATAGCATCCTGATTTGGGCCTAGGGGCAGGAGAGGGTGGAGTCTTAGCAAAGGGAGGTTGAACACCAAAACCAAATGAGGGATCTCTCCATCGTGGAGGGGGAAGTTGGGTTGGGAAGGATGTCAAGTAGGCTCTGCCTAGAGTTTGGAGTGTTACAGTGTAGGGGGAAAGATAAGCAAAATATCTTTCTTTATAAAGCTTCATTTTAACTGATTGACTTAAAATAATTTTTTTGTGAATACCTGATGAGTAATTGGTTTTCTAGGCCCTTTACTGGAAATGGTTAACGCTTTGTATGCAAAAGGCAAGTATTTTTGGTCAACAGTGATCGAATGGAATATTTATGTATTTGTCAGCTGTGGTACATAGCTATAGAAATGGTACAAGAAGTACATTCTGTGCATTTTCTATTTAGTCTTCAGGACAGTTCTGTGAGATGCAGTCTTGTATTGTCCTCATTTTATGTGTGAAGAACCCAGGCTTAGTTAGGTTGAGTTACTTGTGCAAGGTCAGTAGTTAGTGGCCGAGCTGGTGTTAGACCCAGCCCTGTCCAGTTCTAAGACATGTGCTTATTCTGTCCTTGTCCAATTTTTCAACTCTGTTTTGGTAATCAGCATTAGCTTTGTTTATCTCAGAGAGAGTCATATTAACATAGATGTGTTTCACATTTATATTTGACTTTTAAAAAGTGTTTCGTCCACAGTCAATGAACATAAGGTAAAAGCAGGTATTCGCTGTCAGTGAGAGAGTGCTAGGGTGTTGGAAGTGATTCTTTTAATGCCTGAAGGACCAGAATCAAATTACCAAAGGCTACAGAGGCCGTGGAACATGCACGACAGGACATACTGTAAGCACTGACTGAGTAACTAACGGATTTAGAGACAGTGTCTTTGCTATTCTAGGACATTCTCTTCCTAGACCTTCTTCTCACATCTTCCCCAGTATATTTATATACAAGTAAAATTCAAAGATAATTTTATCTCTGGTTGTAACCAAACCAAAAAAAAAAAAAAAGACCTATGTCAGGCAGTTTGTTTCTTGAAACAGTTTCAATAGTTATGATCTATTTTCGTAATGAACAGTTGGTGGAAAAAATATTTAAATATTTCACTTGATTATGATAACTCCTTGTTGAAAAGGGAAAACAAAAAAAGAGAGTAGGGAAGATGAATTCTAAGATGTATAATAAAAATGACTAGGTTTGTGGGTTTTGTTATTTTCTTTTTATATTCTTGCATACACAAAAGCAAGTATTATAGCAATGACAGGCTCATTTCAAAGTTGATCTTGTTTCATTGGATCTTCCTGAACTCCTGAACAGTTTCATTTGCCCTCAAAAATTGAGGTCCTAAGGCATTGTTCCACAAGTACACCACGGTGCCTTCAGAGGTCTGTTCTAGCTAGGGTTAGATCCATCAGTCAATCCCTAATCGCAATTTACATCCCACAATTCCTCTGGATCCAAGCAAGGTGGATCCAGGTGGCACATGTCTGTAACTCTAGCTACTTGGAAGGTGGAACTAGGAGGATCACTGTCCTCAGGCCAACCCAGGCAAAGTTATTGTGAGACTTTGTTAAACTAAAAGCAAAAAGGACTGGGTGGTAGAGCGTTTGCCAATAAGCATGAGGCTCTTGAGTTCAGTCCCCAGTACCTAAAAAAAAAAACTTCTCTGGATCCGTTATTTAATCCATTCCTTCATCTGGCCCCAACAGTCTGCCAAGTCCTTGGCAATTAAATAACAAAGTCCCTGATGTAAGACCTTACTACATGATGGGGGAAAGGAGTGAGAATGACATCAAGAGACAGTGTGGTAAGCAACTTAAAGAAAACCAAATCCAACAACAGGAAGGCATTCCTTCTTTGTTTTCCTAGTCACTTTCAACAGACTTGCATTCTCTTGCCATGAAAGACAGTATTATCTCACATGAAAGAACTTACTGGTATTCTAACATTTGCTGACCAACGCAGATGCAATTCTATATTATTTTTCTTCTCTGCTTTCTCTGTTCTCTTTGTTTTCCATGCACATAGTATATTAGTTACTTATTGCTATGTAACACCACCCCAAAATGTAGTGGCTTAAAACAGCCACCATTTATTTGTCTCCAAGATCTTTTGCATGGTTGGGCAGCTCTTCTGGTCTGGTCAGTTCAGCCGATGAAGGCTGTCTCACTTGTGCATCTCCAGTTGGCTGGAGCATTGACTCCTGGTTGGATAGCCTAGAATGGTCTCACTTACAATCTGACAACTGGCAGGCTGTTGGCAGCTGGATTATGTGTCTCTCATCAGGCTACTTGTTCACAAAGTGATGGCAGCTGAAGGAGGGTCCCACGATCAGCAAGAGAGTATAAGATGCAAGGCCTGTTGGAGGTCTAGGTGTGACAATTGCACAATGTCACTTCTGCCTCATTCTGTTGGTCAGTGAGGGTCACAGAATGGCCCAGATTCAAGGAGGGGAGAAATAAGTTCCTTCTCTTGATGAACAGATATTGCAAAGAGGGTGCAGATGGGGTAAAAGAACAAGTTTAATTTTTTTTTTTTTGGGGGGGCACTGGGGTTTGAACTCAGGGCTTTACTCTTTACCACTTGAGCCACTCCACCAACAAGAAACAAGTTTATAGCCATATTTATAATTCATCACACGTGGTAAACTCCTTCCCCCATGAACACACCCTAAAACTCCTAATGAGTCTTTAGGAATTATGGTACAGGGCTTTATTGTCTAAGAAGTTACACAAGCCAAGCACCAGTGGCTCACACCTGTAATCCTAGCTACTCAAAAGGCAGAGATCACGAGGATTGTAGTTTGAAGCCAGTGTGGGCAAATAGTTCACAAAACCCTAACTCAAAAAAACCCTTCACAAAAAAGGGCTGGTGGAGGGGCTCACAGTGTAGGCCCGGGGTTCAGATCTCTGTACCGCAAAAAAAGAAAAAAAACGAAGTTAACCAAGTTGCATAATTCACGTTCAGAAAGCCTGTCCTATTAACGCTTTGTTTCTTTTTGGATTACCATTCCCTTTTTTTCCTTGCCTTTTTCTCAGGTGAAGCTTGAGGGTCTCTGCATTATTTGAGGTTAACGATGTGATCTGTTACTATTTCCTGTGGTGGGCATTAAGGGAGTATCCTCTCCACACTGAAGACAAACACACAGAGTTTGGCTTCTTAGTTTACTTGCTGGGTTACATTAGTGTAATTGTGTGACAAGATGCTCATAATGAATACTAACTATTGGGCACTGCAGGTTATTTATAAGTATCATCTCATTTAAGTCTTGGAACACTAAAGATATTCATGCCACTTTAGAGATGTGGAAATGATGCTTAGGGTTAAATATGCTCCAGGCCATGTGGCCCGTGCTGTTGTCTACGAGGTTCAGTGAAGAATGTCTCACCAAGTCCAGCTGTGGCTCTGCTCAAGTTCAGTGGGGTCTAGTTGGTTTATTTTGTAACTCCACTTCAGGTGCACCATCACACAACCCTTTCAGCTGGGTTCGTCTCTTCTGTGGAGGTCAGAGTGCTGAACTCCATGGGATCTCAGCCTACACATAAAAGGATGAAGGTTGTTGCTATAAGGTTACTGGAACTCCCAGATGGATGTGGCTCATTTTAGTGTATGCTTTTGGCTCTTGATTGCACCTTTTTAAAGTTGAAAACTTATCTACACCATAGAGTTCCTTCAGGTTGGGAGAAAAGCTGACTTTGAGTTACATTAAAATTTTCTTTTAAACCAGGGCTCTTTTGTTGTTACTGTTTATAATTTTAGAGTCACTGTGTTGGGAAGGACTGAAAAGGTCATGAAGTATAACCAACTGATGTTTGAATCCTCGGCTCTACCCAGACCCCTTCCCCTAAGAGTTGGGGACTAACTCTGCTCCCCAGCAGCCCAGGTTTCCCTGCTGTCCTGTATTGTATACTGCAGTGACCTGGAGCTCTAGCTTCTTCCTCGCTGCTGAGGCTGAGAGAATCCTTCTACTTCAGTCCACCTGGGGGTTTCTTTATATCTAGATGTCTAGATTGTTACCTTTTTTTTGGCTTTTGTTGTTACTTTATAATTTTAGAGTCACTGTGTTGGGAAGGACTGAAAAGGTCATGAAGTATAACCAACTGATGTTTGAATCCTCGGCTCTACCCAGACCCCTTCCCCTAAGAGTTGGGGACTAACTCTGCTCCCCAGCAGCCCAGGTTTCCCTGCTGTCCTGTATTGTATACTGCAGTGACCTGGAGCTCTAGCTTCTTCCTCGCTGCTGAGGCTGAGAGAATCCTTCTACTTCAGTCCACCTGGGGGTTTTCTTTATATCTAGATGTCTAGATTGTTACCTTTTTTTTTTTTTTTTGGTACTGGGGCTTGAACTCAGGGCCTCGCTTTGTTTTTCTTTTTTTAATTTTATTTTTAAAACAGAAAGGACAGTTACCAGATACTAGATATCAAAGAAGCAGACCTGGGGTGTAGCTCAGTGCTAGAGTGCATGGAGGCCCTCGCATCAAAAAGGAAAAAAACCATCAAGCAATTTTTGATTAGTCATAAAATAATAGGATCAGGCTAAAAGAAGTGTGCTGCTACAAGTAGTAGATTTATTGGATATTTGAATGTTTTAAAATGTCTGTTTGTATAAAGTGACTAGTTCAAATTGATATTACATATTGTATGTTACCTAGCATGTTGGATTTTACATGATTTATTCTGAAGCTCATGATTTTGGGGGGTCCCAGGTTGATAGAGGGCCTGCCTTAGTTGTTAGGACTCCGATCCGAGTTGCAAAGACTGAAGAGTTCTATGGCAAAGAGGAAATACAGGATATTTCTAAGAATAAATACTGTATTTCCAGGTGCCGGTTGCTCATGCTTGTAATCCTAGCTGCTCAGGAGGCAGAGATCAGAAGGATCACAGTTCAAAGCCAGCCCAGAGAAATAGTTCACAAGACTCTATCAAAAATACCCATCACAAAAACAGGGCTGGTGGAGTGGCTCAAGGTGTAGGCCCTGAGTTCAAACCCCAGCACTGCAAAAAAAGAAAAAAGAAATATTATATTGTTATAGAACTTTCTAAACATACAAAAGTTGTTTGGGGGTGTTTAGAAAAGTAAACAAAAGCAGCAAACCCCCACAATTATCAAGTCAATCCTGACATCATCTAGCTATTTAGGAGGCTGAAATCAGGATGAGGAGAGGTTTGAGGATAGCCCAGGGAAATAGTTCACAAGCCCCTATTTCCAAAATAACCAGAGCAAAATGAGCTCCACACGTCCAAGTGTGGTTCAAGGGGGTATATCACCTGCTTTGCAAGTGTAAAACCTTGCATTCATAAGTCCTTTTGAAGACATTCAGAAAACGGAAGTCCTTGCTTTTGAACTACGGTGTAATTACTTTAATGATTACTTCTATATCATTAGTTTTTCTAAACCTCTAATTCTTATTCTCTTCTCCAGGGCCCAGTCATATATGCGCAGTTAGACCACTCTGGCGGACATCACAGTGACAAGATTAACAAGTCAGAGTCTGTGGTATATGCAGACATCCGGAAAACTTAAGAGAAGACCCAGAACATATCCTAAGCAAGAAACAAATCAAATTGGACTCTTGTGCAGAAAATGTAGCTCATAACCACGTGTGGCCTTGAGAACCCAGGCAAGGACTTGTGTACTCATAGAGGGAGAAAAAAATGTGTATAAAGGATATGTATAAATATTCTATTTAATCTTCTTGATGTGAGGTGCCTGTGTTGCATGATGAAAAGATGGTATGATTCTGCATATGTGTAAATTGTCTTGCTGTTTGGGGTCATTTACAGTTGGGGAATTTCAGAAACATTCCTATCACCATCATATAGATACGATTTATCTTAGCAGACCTTTTAGTACTTCAAGTAGACATGGCCTTTTAATGTAAGGGCTCAACCAGGCTTAGCATTTATTGTAGTTGGAGAATGAGATCCTATGACAGAAGTATATCCAGGGTGGCCTTTAACCTGATATCAGAAATGTTTCTTATTGGTTGTAGATTTTAGACGACATCCACTAACTATGCCACCAGAAAACAGTTTAGTTTATGTTGATGTTTTTCTAAAACATGGGGCAGTTTTTAACTTTATGCATTTTGTAGACTGTTTTTAATATCACACCCTTTAAATGTATCATAAGATTTTGGATTCATAATATCCAGGTTAGCAAACAATAAAGGTTGGAGGTCACTTCCTTCTAGGTGCTTTAGGTCAATACCATACAGATAGTTACAGTAGAAAATCTAGGCTTTGCTTGAGTTGTATCGTGCCATTTGGAGGCAGAAAGTGTGTGTCAGTTACATTCTTTGCTGAAGTACTTCCTGCTTGAAGTCAGAATTCTCACACAGAAGAAGTTGAACGTTTCCTTCTTTCTAAGTGGGCAGAAATGGGATTGCTAGGTTGCAGCTCAGTATCTCAGAGCGCTGTCCAGATAATTGCCTTCATAAAGCGCCATGAAGTTTCCAGCAGAAGGCAGCTTCAGGCAGTCAGGTATGACTTACACTAGCTTCACCATACCTCAAGACCTATGGAGCTAAAGGAGGTCAAGCTCGTTCTGCTGCTTTAGGAATCTCTTCTCTGTCCCTTGCATACGATCTTTGGTTTTCTGAGGAACTGTTCTTTGTTACTCCCATAATGCACCAACATGCACTCCAGGTGTCTGTAAGGAGGAAAAGGCAGGTTTTGTCTTCATACATGCATCATCTCAAGCCGGTCAGTGTCTGCTCTGTGTGCTTTGTACCTGTTCCACAGCCTCCCCGTTACTCCTTTATGGTCATGGGTCTCATTCAGGAGAGTGATGCAGAGTAATATGGAGTGTCTGTCCCAAACCATTTCCTTCTGTTCTAAAGCCTTTCTGTATCCATTTTGAAGACAATAGAAGAAGCCTTTAGAAGACTTCTGTTGTCACCATTCTTCCAACTAATGCCAAGATAACGATATCCTTGGTGAGCCTTTTCCACTGTGCAAATGACCCAGTGAACCTTGGTGGTGTTTAAGGTAAAAGGAATACGAATCATAAGAACTCAAGTGTGTACTTTGTCATGTGTATTTCTTCCTGACATTTTTACAGAAAAAGTGGGCATTTTCTTTTTTCTTCTTTCTCAATAATATTCCTGTGAATAAACTATACGTTCCCAATACTTTCAGACAGCAAGAGCCCTACTTTCTCCTTTCAGTGCCAAGACCATATCTTTGTGAAACTGGTGCTGTGGTAGAGCTCTCTGAAATGACACCTATAGTCTTTCTCCCCCCTCCACCCCACACAGCGTCCTTCCTGCACCCAACCTCGAGACCACCCGCTCAACCAGACACCTCACCCTCTGTTAGAACTCCGGCATAATAGCAGAAAAATCTCCTCACCAACCTTCTCCCCCAGGCAAGGGCAGTCAGTCAGCTGCCAGCTGACAGGGTTTGGGGGACAGGCTTCCTGATGGACATTGCTCACACTCAGGGAAAGCATCTCAGAGTGGGGTCTCTGAACCCAGGGCCATCTAACTTCCACATACCACTTCCTTCAGAGTTTTTGACCCTTTCTTTCCCCTGTACCTCAAGTTTTCCTGGGCTGGCTACAGATAACAACAGTGGTGTAGCATCCAAATAGCAGACCTGCCCTTCCTGTGTCTTATTACTGGCAGAATGAAACCTCTTAAAATTATATGTGAATTTTGTAAGGGGACACCTAAAAGGGAGTATTTAGAGATTAAAATTCTTAACTATCTGTAGATTTTCAGTGGAAATGTATCCAGCTAGGGAAAAACCATCAAGTTCATTGTTATCTTTTGATCTTTTCTTTTTCAGTTATACTTCTGTGAATATTTTAATACATCTTTTTCAATTTCTGAATGGTGTTGTGTGCTCATTTTAACTCAAGTAGAAAAAACGTTTTATATAAATAAAACCTTTTCATTCATATCACTCCAGCCACACTGGCCTCTTTATTCTTCAGACACACCACCCATGTGTCTGCTTCAGGGCCTTTGTACTACCATTCCATTGGCCAGAAACATGCCTTCTGCGGATATTTGTGTAGTTCATTTTCACACTTCAGGTCTCTGCTCAGATGTCACCTCAGAAAGACCTTCTGTGTCTGTGCTTCTGTGTCTGTGCTCACCCCTGTGCTGGCTCTCCCTGACCCCTCAGTTCTGCTCTATTCTTCTCTGTCCAGCCATGTATTCACTTTTTTGTTCTTGCCGCTGGAACATGAACACCAAGAGGCTACAACTTTACTGTTTTGTTCACTGCTATACCTGTAGCAGGTGGAAGAGAACCTGGCACTTGGTGGCTGCTTATATGTGTTGGCTGGATGCATGGCTGGAAGATGGATGGCTTTATCCATTCAGCAACCTGTTGAGAACTGTCCTGTGCCAGGCATCATGCTGAGCATAAGGAAGCAAAATGAACAAGGCTCCTAAAGGAGCTTGCTGCAGAGTGGGAGCAGCAGCAGAAGACAGAACTCTCATAGCTACTAAGTAGTTGGTGTATGCCACTTTGTATTTCTTACTCTTATTGCAGCACAGTGAGCTAATAATACTAGTTGTTCTAGTCTTACACCCATTTGCAGAAAGACAGTGTCAAGCTTAGATTATATGATCTGCCCAGCCGCACTGTCACTTAACCAATAAGGTGTGAATAGGTGGGGCTGTTTGGTCTGAAGGAAGGACTCTTAATTTCCTCTATTCAAATCAATGTGCTAAGTACCTGGATGGCAGTTTTCTCTGTTCCTCAGGAATTGGGTGCTGGTAACATGAAGGGAGTGGTAGTATGGGTGATGGAGATGCAGAGGCCCAGGGGACTTGGCCTCAGTTTGAAAGAGAATAGTGTGACTTAATTTGCCAAGTTTTGTCACAAATAATGGGTCACTAATCAAGAATTGGAAGTTTTCCAGTGACACGTTTAATTTTTGTAGATTACCAAGGATTCATGATGAACCCTGGCACTAATAACTTTATGCTGTCTTAAGTGGGAGAAGAGTGCAGTTGGCAGGAACATCTCTGGGAGTGATTCTCGCACATGAGCAGCTTCTATCAAGTACAACGCAGCAAAAAGCAAAGATACCTCCCCCAACTCACAAAGACAACAGTATGAAATCTTCTGGGTTTTCTTCAGCTCTACACTTCCTCCCCAGTTAGCACTCAGTTTTGGAGGCTTTCTACTCCTGCAGGGACTCTGGTTTCCAAGCTATACAGGGAACATGCCAACTCAGTCCATACTCCTGGCCTCTGAGGGAGGCTTCAGCTCTGAGCGAGTTGAACTGGGCAGTCATTAAAAGGAAACTTCAAAGTCTACCTTGCAGGAGGGACTCTGGAATCCCAGGCAGTCTTAGACTGCACCTGCAAGCCTTGGCTTGTTATAGTGGACCAGGTTTGCCCAGAAGACAGACCCATAGCTGGGCCAGCACAGGTGCTGAGAAGAACCTCACAGGTCCTTCTCACTGGAACCTTGTGAGTGAAAAGATACTGACACAGACTATGGAAGGAAGAAATAAGCATTAGAGCACAAACAGGAACAGAGGCCACCTGCCTATCTGAGGGCCTTGCATTTAGGAATCACTTGTGGGACTCTGAATGAAGATAGTCTCCTGACCAATGGGGAAGTCTTGTGGCCTGTGACGGATGGAAGCTAAGGATTGGTCAACGTTCTGGGTGAGTTGGGTGTATTCTTGGCTAGATGGATCTGGTCTGATAGCTTTAGTGATGAGTTAGCTGCTGCTCTTCCTCAACTTGAACTGCCTGTTCCTGAACCAAACTGGAACTTGCTTGATCCTGTGCTGTCACTGCTGGGATCATTCATGTTGATTAAAGGGTCTAGCTGGGGATTACGCAGGGCCATTCTGTTCTTCCGGGTATCTGAAATCTGGAATGAAAGGCTAGTCTAGAATCCTCTTGAAGCACTCATTTTCAGTTCTGCTTGGTGGGTCTCTCCCTGGAAATGCACTTAATTTAGTGTCACCCCTACATTCTTCACATTTTCTTACAAAATGGCATCATGTCACACCTTACAAAAACACATTTTGAAAATCAAATCCTTGGTTTCATCTATTTCTCAGTGTGTAGTCAAATTTCCTGTCTTGAAAATGGCATTTTACAAGTGATTTCTTTAAGTCTTGATCCAAACATAGTCCTAGTAAAGATTTTCTTGGGCTAAAGGTGTGGCTCAGACAGTAGAACACCTGCCTAGCAAGTTTGAGGCCCTGAGTTTAAACCCCAGTACCACAAAAAAAAAAAAAGAAAAAAAATAGAATGGTAGTACTCTACAGTTTGCTTTTTTCTCCCTAGTGCCTGAGAAGTTTCCATGTCAATATGTAAAGAACTAGGCCATTAGTTACCAACACCTACAGGGTTCTCTCTTATGGACGCACCAAAATAGTCTAAACTGTTTCCAAAATTCCAGGCATTTAGGTTTCCAGTTTTTTTGTTATTATCTATTACTAGCTCTGTAATTGTCATTTGTCCTCAGTATTTCTTTTCAAAAGCCAAGTGTAAATAATTTGCTGCCATGGAAAAGCAGCACAGGGTCAGGCCAATCCTCCTGGCCCTTGAACTGGTATCTAACATCTGAGAGAAATAATGGGGCCCCGCTCCCTCCTCACATCCTTCCTGTGATAGCACCTTGTCTGTGCTATCAAGTCTAACTCAGTTGTGGGTTGTAAGAAAAACAAGTGGTGTGGGGGGGAGAATGACCCAAACATTGTATGCGCATACGAATAAAAGAAAAAAAATCAAAAAAAAAAAAAAAGAAAGAAAAACAAGTGGGGCCGGGGAGGGCTCCAGAATCTCCAGGAGACCCGGCTGTGTTTATAGGGAAGGAAACAAACCTTCAAGCTCAAAGGAATCCCTGGAGAGCTGCTGCTTCCAGCTTCCATTTCCTCCTGCAAACAGGATATGAAACTATTTATTGTCCTTTCTTGGCTCTGGCTGTTGGATTGCATTGTCCATCCATTTCTTTGCTGTGGGCTTTGTAGACCTGGCCTTTAGTGTTCCTGAATATAAGGAAGGGCTGGTTTGGGGTTTTGTTTTTTCAGTCTCCCCACATCTGGGCAAAAGGAAGTCTGGCAGGTTTAATATTCTCAGATTTGCTTTTGAGCCCGGCCCTCAGTGCTGTGTGGCTGACACATTTGTGGTGACTTTACTTTTGGGGCCATGAAGTGATTTCAGGTAGTATGCACCTGAATCATTATCTGCTGTAGGAATGGAAACAGGGCAAAGGTAAAGATCAGGCTGGCTGTTGGTCTGAGGTTTCTCCTACTCTGATAAGGATTCCAAGGAGACAATTTTGAATCTAGACCATATTCTTGGTTCTCTCTTTCTCTGCCTTTGAATAAAATTTTTTAAATTATAAAGTTTCTTTTAATGAAATAAAAGGAACATGAAGTTTGCACTCATTTCGTAGGGAGTCTCTTGGAACATACAGCAGATCCACGGGACTGTAGAACATCTTGTAAAACCCGGTCCTCCATCTTGCTGACCAAGCAGAACCCCAGAGGTTTGTTTACAATGTGTCTGGATATTTCTATCCGAGAAAAGGCCCAGACTTTGACTTGTAAACCATTCCTGAAGGAAGTTGATCTGGTGGAGGGAAAACGTTCTGAAAACTTGCTTAAGGATGTTGGTCCCAAGAATGTATACAGCGTCCATGGAATACACCGTTACTGGCAGCCAGCAAGTGCCACACTGCTCCAAGTGCTTTTGTCAAGGAAGCTGAACAGAACTCACGTGATTCAAGGAATGTGATGTCCTTTAATATGCCTCAGTGGCACTATAACAGGTACTTATAAACTGCTTTTTGCTAAAAGCACTTGTTATCGGCAAGCAATGTTCTCAGAAGAGCTTGGTCCTTGCGTTCCTAACGGAAGAATCCAAGTGGAATGCATGGATGGGGTGAGGTAGAATAGCTTTATTGAGGGAAGGGAAAAAAGAAAAGGCTGGGGTCTCTTCGTAGGCCATTTTTTTATACCACCTTGAACTTAGAGGTGGGGAGACATTACAATATCACCTGGCTCCCCCAGACGACTCCTAACCTCGCCTGCCTCACTGGCAATATAACATGTACTTAGAAACTGCTTTTGCTAAAAGCACTGACTCTTCACTTGGACCTGCAAATGTCCAAATGGAATGAAAAGCAGGATATAAACTCTGCCTCCATTTTGCTTCTGTCTCTTGCTCTGAGCCTTTCTCTCCTACAGTAACCTTGGATTCTGGGAAGACAGGACTGATGAATAAACATCTTGTGAATACAGTCCAATCTACCCCAGGCAACAATGACGTTCTTATCTTGACAAGGCCCTTTTGCTTGACCAATTCTGAGATAATGATCAACCAGCCCACACCAAGACTGCTTAATTATGCATACTTCTTACTGTCACACCCCACCCCCCATTTTCTATTTAAACCCCATGTTCATGTCAGCACCCTGAAGAAGGGCTGAAATGCTTGGTCTCACTCCCCAGAATAGTATAGCTATGTTGAATAAGTCCCTTCCTGCCATTTCACCATTGCTTCTGTTTGCTCCTTTGGAGCAAGTGACTGAACTTGACATGTTTAGACCCCAAGTTGAAACTCTGGTCACACTGCAGAGAGGCTGCCACAAATCCCTTAGACTCAGGGCCTGATACATCTGAACACACCAGACTGTTGGTTGAGCAAATAATTTCATGTTGACTAATTGAGCTTATGCAAGAGAAAAAAAGCCCAAGGGAGAAAAACGAAATAAACTTAGGAGAGCTAGCTGGAAATAATTGGGCTTCTTCTATCTTCTCTAAAAAATGCCCTAAGAAAAAGTTGAAGGTTTTGATTCCTAGTAAA